TTGATTTTTCATTTGATATTGCTACTTTGCTAGAATTGATTGCCATGTTTTAGTAAAAAAAAGTTTCCGTATGACATGATCCCTTTTTTTGGCTATCACCAAAAGGCGGGATGGCTATTTGACAACTGGCTACTATAAGTTGAGGGATTCTACTAATTTTTTCTATTTTTATTTTAGTCATCCAATATTCATGATTTCTTTGAGTAGCACTTCTTTCAGTCATTTTACTCCATTACTGTAGAGTTTTGGTTTCTCTAGGCTTCCCAAGTCATGAATGCAGGTGCGAGCAACAAGTTGTTGTGAAGCTCAAGTCTTTCATAATATCTCATAAATACAAGTGGCTTTTTGTTGGAAGATCATAGAGAAATATGTAATTTTCTTAAAAACTGAAAAGAAATAAGGGTCAGACTAAGCAACAGCTTTGTTTTATGCTCTATATTACTGTATAGTATCATGCAAGGTTTATAAGGTGTTTGATTCTCTATGTTGGAGTATCTGGTGCATGCAATCTATATATGCTGACGTGCTGACTGCTGACTGCATATGGTAGTGTAAATTCTTGTGTTTCTCACAATCGAAAATGTTTGTGCTTGGTATTCATTTCTCTTTTTTTCAGCTGCTAGTTTCCACTAACTAATTGACATATTCTACACCTCACATCTTCCAGATCGACGTGACAAATATCATTGAAGGCCATGCATCATATGTAAACATGACTGAGCATATTTTGAAACAGCTTGAGCTAGACACTTACTATCCTGTTTGGAAAGATGGAAAAGTAGAACCATCATCCCCTAAGGAGTGCACCCACTAAACCTTAGTTCTTGCTTGTCTAACCTCTTGGTGTCCTGCTAGGAAATCGGTTCTTGATTGTTGGATTGTGGTCGCCTTTCATCTCACTCACAAGTACTAGCTCGTAATTATGTTTTGGATATCCGTTGCTTTGCTCAGTTATTTAACCATTTGCAGTACTAAATCCTGAAGAGTTCATACTTGCATGTCCATTAGACCATTACACCTTGACTGATCTTTGATACGAGTACGGCTTTTGTATAGCAGTGTTAGTAGTCATGTGTTCGGCGCAATGAACATGTCTTGTTTAGTGTTGAACCCATCCTGTTAATGACTTAAATCTTCGGAAGGCCCTATATAAATCCCTCGTTTTGGTGCACGTCCCACAATACAGACGTGCTGTGTTGCTGGACAAACGTGGGATGTGCACCAGACGTGCTGTGATCTCTATTCCAATACATACATTACTGAATTGCACGTGTCCTTGTGTCCAAAATCAAATCCCCAATTAAATTTATCGGTATTTGCTCTAGTAGAGTTTCCAAATGCTATTGTCAATATTTGCAAATGCTTGGGAGTTGGGGGAATTCTCTTACCTAAGCGTTAACCTACCGGGCTGGACTGATTAAATTCGTGAGAGGTGTTGGTTCAGTAGGGTCTTTATCTTACCTTTAAAAAAAAAAAAATATTTGCAATGCACTGCTTTTACTTTGCATGCTTTACGTACAGTTCTTTGACTGTTGTTGGTGTTTTAAATGAGAACTTCACATATTCTCTTTTAGTTGCAACGTTTTGCCTTTTACGTGTGTCAATGCTTAATTTCAATGCTTTATACGCTATATATGATAAGTAAAAATGATACTCCGTATATAAAAATTTGATATTGTGAAAATATAAATCGAGACGAACTTAATAAATTTTCACACGACTACATTTTGTTCACTAATTAATCAATAAAGGTGACCAATTGGGCCAACATAAATAGTGTCATTTTCTAAATGTTATAACTAAAATAAATGGAGGAATAACAAGGGATTAATATAGTAACTAGTGTGCGGCCTGGGTGTTGCTAATTTTTTTTTTTTTTTATGAAATATATTATCGTCTTTTTTGACAAGATGAAATATTTTATCATCGATTATGTATGTTATGCATAAATGTTAAAAATAATGTTACTGGCTAAGATGACATCAATTGTTATTGGCTAAGATGGTAAGGAAGTAGATCTTGAAATATATTATCGTCGGTTATGTATATTATATATTAACGCTTTTTAATATATAAGTATAGATATAGATGTATGAAGTACGTGCTTAATAAAATTGTCTCAACGTGTATGGTGTATCTTTTGAATATTAACTTCTATGTGATGTGTATCATTGGTTAAATACATAAAGGTGTCGTTATTTTAGGGTTTATAGATGAATATAAATAATGAATATAAATGCTCATTATTTTCGAACGATTTCCATAAAAATTGTTGAATTGTAAATTAATTCCCTATTTGCGTTGGTTTAAAAACTTATTCCCACAATATTGTCCATGTAGGATTGGAAGAAGGGTTTTTATTTTTTTTTAAATAAAAAACCGTTAGATAGCGGTTCTATACTTGTTATAAAACCGCTAACGTCGTTAGCGGTTCTTATATTAAGTTTTAACTTGTGAAGTTTTCTTATACAAGAACCGCTAACGACATTAGCGGTTTTATAAGTATAGAGCCGCTATCACCGTTAGCGGTTCTTTGAAAAAAAATCTACCAAACCTACGTGGACAATATTATGGGAATAAGTTTTAAAACCAACGCAAATAGAGAATTAATTTATGATTCAACAATTTTTAGGGAAACCTTCCCATTATTTTCTTCTCACGACTTCCATTAATAAATATATTCACGATCAATTGTTCGGCTCATTTTGATTAATTTTAAGTAAATATTTCTCTTTTTTTTTTCAGTTGCTATTATTGAATATTAAAACTTCTATGAGATACTCCCTTTGTTTCAATGAATGCGTTAAAAATTTAACATTTGTAATGTATAGTTGTAGACAACTCTAATTAGTATTTAGCCGTTCCATAACTATATAATTTGTCTAAACTATTAATGAAGGTTCAAGTAATACAACAGAAAATCTTGAATGAACCTGGTATTTAATATGCGAATATTTAAATAAGACTTTTAGTTTGAAACGAAAATGACATCATAGAGATGTAATATTAATGGACCCATTAACACAAATACACACAGCACTACAAAATCATAAATTGATACGTAATATCTGGACAAAAATCAAAATGAATACAAGTATTTTTTTTTTAAGGAAATATCAAAATGAATATAAACAGTTAAACACAATCAAGTTATTTGAAAAGTCTATATTATTTTATTTTATTTTATTTTTTATAAAATATAGGTTATATTGTCAACGTCTTATCGGATTAAGACATCAGAAATTATTTCTCCAGACTTCCAGAGTCTCGTGAATATTGTGATTGTCTCAACTCTAACCAAATAATGAGCTTGCCACTTCTCCACATTCTCCACTTATATAAGTAACACATTGTCACATTACACAATGTACTCCATAGTTAATAATATAGTGATTAGCCATTAATCAAAAAATAATGATGAGGTTATTTAAAACCTCACTGTTTAATTCAACTATATTAGTAATATTTACCCTTTTGATCTTTCAAGAATTACCATGTTCTACCGTATGTGGTTACACTATTCATGATTTCCCTCCTTATTTCGTTTTTGGGGCCGGATCTTCTGCACATCAGGTAATTTCGTTTAATTTTTACTTATTAATTGTGTGATGTTACTCTGTCCATCTCATTTTACTTGTCCTACTTAATTAAAGGCCGAATGAAGGTATCGTCACTTACTCTATCGTGTTGCATATTGGTAGTGTATAGGGTTTTTTTATAGATCTTGAGTGTAGTATCATGCCATCTCCATAATTAATTTATTCAATTTTTAATTTTTTTAATATTTTTTTGAAAATCCATAATACGTAGTATTAGTAATTGATACAGTACTATGGTTCGATTAATTAAAAGTTGAAATGAAAAAGAAGAATATTGGGAAATCAACTTTAGGATTCGGACGGGATTTCATATTGAAAGTGTGTCGAATTTTGGCGGTCTTATTTTAGGACAATACATGCATTACTGAATTGCACGTGTCCAAATAATATTCGATTTAGTTTCTTTTAATGCTTCATTTTGGCCTTGCATAGTGGATTTTGACCAATATTGAATTTTTACACGAGTTGGTATGAAGTTTACAGTCATGTAGACAATTGTTGAAGTTGTCTTGATGTACTAGTGTCTTCCTCCCATAATATAGGGCTACCTCCGTTACATATTATTTGCAACGATTTAACATAAAGTAAGAAGGGAAAATGTAATGTCTAATCGTTGTAAATAATATGTAACGGATGTAGTATTTAAGAAATGAAACGACAAGTGAAAAAAAGTACATTAGAAGCAGAAAAAAGCTGGTTAAAAATACAAGGCAAATGGATAATTTAAGCAAGAATAAGTGAAAAGTAGAATTCTATTCAAAAAAAAAAAGTGAAAAGTAGAATTATAGATAAAAGTTAAATAGAGAAAGTGGAAAAAAAAATACAATGTAAGTAAATAATTTAAAAGTAAATTAAAAATTTTAATCAGTAAAGTTAATAAAAATAAGGGTATAATGATTTTTATATACTACTCAAAAAATAGAAATACAAACAATATTTTAAGTCTCTAAAAATAGTCCCATAAAAAAAAAAAGTCTCTAAAAATAGAAACATAGAAACTATATTATAGGACAGAATTATTGGTCAAACTAGGAACTACGAAGTACAAAAGAAACAACAAACAAACTAAAAGCAAAGAAAGCAAAACAAAATTAGATGAAGTAACAAACTACATTAGGAAGTAATATTGACAAAGGTGTTGATCAAAGTTGAACATAAAAAAATATATACATAATGTTTTTTTTTTTGTTTTTTGTTTTTTAATATTACACTTTAATCAGTACATTTCTTGGATGTAAGCATCTTCATTTGAATAAAAAAAAAACACTTTAATCAGTACATAATTTATGGCATTTTAATTAGTTTTAACATGATAAAATATATGCTCTATTTTAATTAGCATATTTGTTAATACGAAAATTTTGATCAATAATGTCTTTGATTATCAAAAAGTATAAATTATACGAGTAATAATTTGATATTTAACCATTATATTCCAACAAGAACCTACCTGATAAATTATATTATTATAAATTTATGTCTAAATTATTAATAGCGGTCAAAGTAGTTTATGGAAATAATTAAAATGAGAAACGTATATTAATTTTGGAATAGAAGAAGCACGTATTATGTTCACAATAAATAAATAAAATAAAATTAGGAGTATTATGAATATATGATTTGATTGACATGGACCCAATAACTATCAATACAAAACTAAAAAATACAAAGTATTTTTTTTTAAAAAAAAAATACCAAGGGTCCGTTCAAATACGATTATTTTCAATTCAGTTCAGCTCTAATAAATTCAGTTTTGTTCAGCTCAGCTCTAATAAGTTCAGTTTAGTTCACTTCAATTCAGCTAAATTGAGTTAATGAGAACAGACCCCAAGTACAAAATTACAAATCAATATTTATTTCGTCCTTATATTCAAGCCTATTCGGAGTTTCTTTATTAACAGGTTTTAAAGAAATTAATTAGGTGTACAAGTTTTTCGGGCCAATTTTAAATCAGGTAAAAAAAACAATTAAAATTGCGTAAAATTAATTTCCCAAACCCATCCGATTTTTTAAAAAATCTAGCCGGGCCCAACATGAATTCAGGCCAAAAAAAAATGCCAAAGCCCGCCCGCATGCCAAATTTGGGCCGCCCATTGGGCCGGTCCCAACTTCATCGGGTCTAGTAATTTTGCTTTAAGACAGGGAAAGTACATTAGATGGACAATAGTCAAAGTGAATAAAAAAATAAATACTTGGTACTCCATAAAGTTAAGTAGAATTTAAAAAATAAATAATTGGTCCATCTCCGCGTGAATCTCGAGATTATCTGAACTCTGTTGCTAATTGCTATCGGTTGGGTTGATGAACTCTGTTACTAAAGTGATTAGCCATTAATCAAAATATAATGGTGAGGTTTTTGAAAATCTCACCTTTCAATCCAACTATATTACTTCTAGTAGTATTTACCCTTGTCATCATTCAAGAATTACCATGTTCTACTGTGTACTGCTTTACCATTCATGATTTCCCTCCTAATTTCATTTTCGGGCCCGGCTCTTCTGCCTTTCAGGTAATTTCGTTTAGTTTAGTTTTTATTTGCGAATTGTATGATGTTATTTTCGCGGTCTCATTTTACTTGTCCCATCTAATCGTGATTTCTAGACTTTTATACTTCATTGTTTGATTGATATGAGGCTGATCAAAACAGTGTGGTTTGATTGATTAAAAGGTGAGATGAAAAAGAAGAAAATTAGGAAATCAACTTTCAAATTTGGACAATATTTCATAGTAAAGTGAGAATTATGGATTTCATTTAGGAAGAAATGGTGTAATTAAAAATTTTGTTGTTAAAAGGTGGATATTGTAGCATGTGAAATTAATTTTGGGTTTTGTGGAAATTTTAAGTTTAGAAATTAAGATGAATTTGAATTTTTATCTAAAATTGTACTTGTAATTGTGTGCTGTAGTCCTAAGTCCTCTGCTCGGATATATCGAATTTCGAATTTAGGCAGTCTTAGCTTTTGGGATTAAGTTTAGGCCTTATGTTGCCGTGGCCGGATTATGTTTTTATCAAATATTCTAAGCTACAATGGAGGAAACTAATTATATACAAAGTCAAAGATATATTATTAACTAATATATCTTAACAGACACCTATAACAATCCTGGTTTGAATTCTCATAAACTCATGTAGGGTCTGTTTTCTTCGGCTTATTTTCAGTTCAGTTCAGTTTCTAATTTCCTTCTTTTATATAATATTCAATTTAGTTCAATTCAGCTCAGCTCTGTTCAGCTGTAAATCAGAACAGACCCGTAATCCAACTATAGAATGCAATGTTGTTATTTGGTCATATATGTTGTCCGATGTTGAATTTAATATCAAGTCTGAAATAATTGTTAGGAATAAACTTTGCAATCAAATCTGTATGACTGACAGGTAAGTGTAGTTGTAAGAAGAGTTTATCATGCTAAAATTGGAATAATTTAAAAGTAACAAGGAACAAAATTAAATGGAAAATGAAGCAGATTTTAACACATCATGAAGCAGATTTTACCAAAATACCCCTTCGTAAACGAAAAAAGACACCATTAAATTCCAGATTTGTTTGTTCCGTTGATCTACTTATATTTCCTTGTGTGTGTATGTTAAGTTTTCATGGTTTACTGTATGTTTTAATTCTTGTAATGAACTTAGAGAACTAAATAATTTCAGGGGAAGAGAATGTTTATTTTATGGAGAGAGCTTGTGATCAGTATCATAAATACAAGGTAAGCAACACTTTTTACAACTTTTGGTTTTGTTGATTCCATTTTAAGTGTGCATTGTGCAAAAGGTGTACTATACACATCAAATTTACTCATCCTGAATTAAATGACGATGATGTTTGTAATTTTTTTTTTTTAAATGACGATGATGTTTGTAATTTTATTTTTTTTTAATGAAGATGATGTTTGTGATTTTTGTAACGACGATGATGTTTGTTTTTATTTTTTTAATGACTATGATGTTTGTGTTTTTTTTTTTATGACTGTGATGTTTGTGATTTTTTTTTTAATGACCATGATGTTTGTGATTTTGTTGTTTTTTTTAATGAGGATGATGTTTGTGATTTTGTTTTTTATTTTTTTAATGACTATGATGGTTTTTGGTTTTTTTTTAAATGATGATGATGTTTGTGATTTTTTTTAATGACGATGATGTTTGTGATTTTATAACGGTTGAGTGAATTTTCATGGGAATTTTGTAAGTGTTGATCTAGTGTGGGATAGGATAACTTGTTTAGCCTCTTTCTTACACCCACTGACTTTTTTCAAACTTATCTAAAAATAGAAGTCTACACCAAGCGAATCGATCTTTTTGAAATGGAGGGAAGTTTATAATTTATGCAATTTTATGACAAATCCATCAATATATATAATACTCTGTATTACAGTACAAATTATTAATACAGAGGAATTTCACCAATAAAATCTAAGTTTTTTTTAGCAAATTAATGAAATTTATGGATCTATTTTGTTCAAGTCAAAGTCAAAGCTAAGATGAAAATATTTTATGAGGTAGGGAATAGAGTTGACTACATATGAGTGATATAGAGCACAACAACGTAATGATTCCCATTATATTTGTTGCCCATATAATGAATTTGTGTAACTTGAATTTGTAGGAATTCAGCCGCATGTGGTGTTATTGCATATGGACACGCCACAAGCACTAGAAGATGACTATGGATCATGGATTAATCAGCAAATTGTGTAATTTTTCTGCAGCTAGTCTGATCAATTTCTTTCCATACTATGTTTTGATGTACGGAGGAAATATTTACTACTCCGTATTTAGTTGGGTTAAACTACCATTTATGGAGTAAGAAGTATTAGTCATGTATTCTACTGTGAATTTTTTCTTAACAACCATTGGACTTGTATAACCAAATTTTTTTTTTTTGTTTTTTTTTAAAAAAAAAAAAAAAAAAAAAAAAAAAAAAAAAAAAAAAAAAACCATTGGCTTGAATGACTGTGTGATCTCCTGGGTGCAGGAAAGACTTCACAGCTTATGCAGATGTGTGTTTTAGAGAATTCGGGGATCGTGTTTTACATTGGACTACATTCAATGAGCCCAATATTGCATTATTAACAGGCTATGATCAAGGGATTATTCCTCCTAAAAGATGTTCTCCTCCATTTGGCTCTTGTACCAGAGGCAACTCCACAATCGAGCCATATATTGCAGTTCACAACACATTGCTGGCACATGCAACTGTGGTTGATTTGTATAGGAAAAAAATATCAGGTACATATTTCTCAAGTTAATGCAAGTTTGAAGCTGTTGGTAGTAAAAGAATCCGAACTTGTAATCTTGAGGTCACAAGCTTAACTGCTACATGATACATCTAAGTTAGCACAAGTGTTATGGTTTGAATGCAGGGAAAACAACATGGATACATAGGTATAAATGTCTTCGCCAATTGGCTTGTTCCTGAAACAGACACAAAAGAAGATATACTTGCAACTCATATAAGCAGCAAGTTCCTTGTTGGTTGGTGAGTTACAATCACGAGCATTCTATTCTTCTAATTTCCCCTGCTAATCTGTTTTTTTTTTTTTTCTTGATCTTATTTGAACCTAGTTTACCTCTTGAATTGAGCTATTCTGAACTTACTATAGCTATAAATTGAACTTGGATAGTCATTACTTACACTTGCTTGATTGAACAATCTAGTATTTGTTCTTCTGAACTGAACTGATTTTTGCGTAAACTTTACTGATCTGAACAGATTTTCCCTGAAACAAGCAAAGCCTTAACACAATTAAAGCCCTAAATGCATACTATTGTCTTTTGCAACAATTGTTAGTTGTCAAGGGTTGTTTGAGGTTAGCTGCTAATATAGCTAATTAAAGAGCCACTGAACAAGTAATCAACAAAACGTTACATAGTTAAAAAGACGAACAAATTATTTACTTCTTGCCTTTGCTACCTCTAGAAGCTAGCATAATCTCTAAAAACTATGTATATTTGGTTTTTAAGAACACTAAAACTATCTTAAATTCTATTTATTCAGAAAGAGGTACAGAGTATGCAATTATTATTAAAATTACTATAATTGTTATGTTTCCTTGATAATTTAGCTAGTAGTTTACATAACTTAAATTTAATTTGTTGATTGCCTTAGATTCTTATCTACTTAATCTCTAAATGTCCTGCCAGGATTTTAGATCCCTTGGTGTTTGGGGACTATCCAGATATAATGAAGGAACATGCTGGCAGCCGACTTCCCTCCTTCACAAAATATCAATCAAAACTCGTAAAGCAATCATTTGACTTCATTGCATTGAATTCTTATGGTTCATTAGTTGTCAAAGACAATCCTAGTATCCTCTTGATTCAGCCAAGAGATGTTGCAGCAGATAGTGGAGTTGGATCTCACTGTAAGTACAACCTTTCTTGAGAACATATCATATGACAATTCATGTTATGAGATATAAAATCCTAGCATATATATTATTCCAAAAAAAAAAAAATAGCATACAATATAATGCATAGTGTTTTAGTTTATGTATAGCTTGCTAAAATATAAGTAAATAATTACTGAATTAAAATACTGTATACTATCTTGCAGATGGGGATCATAATGAAGAGGTGAGATGGAGGTGATGATATCGAATTATTGATTATGATGACTATTGACTCATTTAAAATTTTTATGATCTAACACAATTTGATCAAATATTAGGCACTTGAACATGTACTCGAATTTGTCAAACAGGAGTATGGAAATCCTCCTATATATATACATGAAAGTGGTGAGTTCATCCTTTTTCGTTTGGTTGTGTTTCCAATTAATACCCTCTGGCTGTGTTTCCAATTAATACCCTCTGGCTGTGTATTGCTAATGAGATGCTGTATTTGATAGGATATCGGATGTATCATAATTCATCATTGTTCGACAAACCAAGAGTTGAATTCTTAAATGCCTCAATCGGAAGCATGCTGAATGCTGCAAGGTACGACCAACAATCATAAATTGAAATTCTACTGCCTATTCATATATTTCTCCTCTGTATTGGTTGTCACATTACTTGTTCAATTTACATTGTCAACGTGACTATACAACAGTCGTTAAAATATATGTATATAAAGGAGTTACGGCCAAAATTGTTTTGTGTACTTAGTAGTACGTACTATTTGGTGTAGAGAAGATGAGAGAAATGATTTTATTGGTCATATTGGTGTTCAAGTGTTAATAGGATATTATTATGTTCAACATTAATGTTAGTTATAACTAAGAGTCTGAGCTGAATATTTTATGAGATAAAGAAATTAGGAGCTGAACTGAGCTAAACTGAATATAATCTGATGAGAACAGGGCCTAATGCACTTAGCTCGTGATTGAATTATTGAACTGAAGAATTATTTTACTAAAACAAGTTTAATGTTTCTTGAATTGTTGAAGGAATGGATCAAACGTAAGAGGATACTTCGTATGGTCATTCATTGACACACTAGATATGGCGGGATTGGAAGACTGGGTCTACGGATTGTACTACATGGATTATAGAGATCCTGATCTAAGAAGATACCCCAAATTCTCCTCGTATTGGTATACTGCATTTTTGAAAGGAAAAAGCTTCCCTTATGATGGTGATTTTATAGAAAAATTTCGGAACTCAACCAATGTCTTGGAACCCCTTGATTACAGTTAGAAATGGCGCTCATTCGTGTATTAGTATACTTCTGTGGTTCTGTATATCAGTATATGGAGTGATAGCTGTTTGAAATTGCTATTACAATAAATAATTATACTTAAATCTGGATCGGACTTTGTAACTTAACGTAGTTCGATCAATATATACTACGTATAAAAGCTTTACATAACTTTGGCTGATTAAATGTACTTTATATTTGTATGTCACATAATAATACAAGTATAAAAGTAAACATGCATTACTATTTAGATTTTAGTCTATTATATAAAATGTACTTATATAACTTTATTATAAAATTATGAATTTGCATGCATGGACCATGTTGTATGTAAACATGCGTGCACGGGCTGGAAAATCTCATAATAGAAGCAAAGTTGTTTCAGTTAATAACCTAACACGTCATGCTGAACCCATTACATACATATATTTTAAGATGAGAGCAAGTACAAGCTTCGAGTTGAAGATGAATAATGTTAGTTTGGTCCACCTTTTGGGATTTGTTGGTTAGCTCACCAATAACTTTATGTAATCATTCTTATACCAAGCTTATAATTTCTGAGTATAATTATGTTGGCATGCAACATTAAGATTATTTGTAGCAGATTGAACCGTTTAAAAATTAATAATAACTTGTAAGAAGAAGGGCCCTATCAGGTCAGAACCTCTCATAAGTCCTCCCAACTCAGATTAGCGGGATAGGCATTTTGAGAGTGGGGGGAAAGGGTAAGGGAATCTCCACCCCAAAGTGCCTCTAGTGGAGATTGAACCCCCAACCTCAAGGTTTGAAGGTACAATATTTTTCACTAGACCAAGTTTAGCTTGGTCAATAATAACTCGTGTTATTAGTATATGATCCAATGAAATTATTCGGTGGAAGTTAGACTCTGCTACATATTGCATGCTCTTACAAATTAAAAGACCATAACTCATGTAATAAAGATAGATGTTTTCAGGATAAGAAGATGATGAAAAAACTTGTGATTTTGGTAACCCTTTAGCAGTAGAATGATTATTTTTCAGGGGGGCTTGACAAGACTGCAATTAACGTGCTACATAATATACAAGTATGTAATCTTATTCTAGCATTTAAAAAGGCAAAAAATGATGGCATAAATAAAGCACTAATTCATCACAGAATAAAAAAAAAGGCATAAGTCATCAAAATGGTACTTGGATTTTGTCAACAAATCTCTAATTGGATAAAAAGGAAGTGGTTTTTATTTTCTTCATAGAACACCATACAAAGTGAATAGTGCATACCCTAGGAAATGACATAAAAGTGCTATATAGTAGTTATAGTAAAACCCTAAAACCTTAACAATATTATAAATAATGTTACTGTACTAATTACATTGTCCTAATGCTCGAAAAAATGTTGAATGGTGTTAAATAATGACATTATCAATCTAATGTTGCATTGGTACTACATACTGCATTATGTACTAGCTAGAATGCCATTAAATCATTAATTAATTAATTAATTAAATTGATAATTTCTTTCCTTTATTCCCCAAATTAAAATAAGATATATACATGACCCGATTATTAATTTCGAAGAAAATGAGTAAAATCAGTTTTGAAATATTCATCCCACTCGAAGATATCGCGTTTAGTATCCAAAATACCGATCGTTCATATAGATGTTTTTTTAAAGGAAATATATAAAAGTTAGATAACTTTTCTCTCAAGATTATACCCTTACTTATCTAATAAAATTAAATAAAAAAATTTAGCGTCTACATCAGGGACTCGGATTAATGTTTAGATAATCCATAATTTGATAGCTTGAAGCTGCAACATAATCTGCTGCTCAATTGGCTTTCCCGATAAACATGACATGAAAAAAACAACCACAAAGTAAGCCAACAAAATTCTTGGCGGCATTCATTAACAATTGAATTTTCCAAGGACAACGCACTCATATAGTTGATTTATTCCCAAAAACCGGCAAGTACTTGTAGAGTTGTAGTTGTAACTAATCGGTACATTCTACTTGTTACTAACACTGTATGTTCTTGTTATGGTAACGACCTATGACTCTACAAGTACTTTGTGACTTTGTCTGCCCACTTGTATTTTTTTATTCACGAGTGCAATGCAATCTACCTTTCTCTCATCTCTCTCTCTCTCTCTATTGAGGAGTGGGAATGAGTGTAGGAAAAGTATGTCTAGCAACCGTAACATGTAAGCGTTACGTATTATTTGGCCTATATATACTACATAACTTCAGCATGATTTGGCTGGGAATTAAACTAAGTAATCTGATCATGGAGTTGGTAAGAAGCTTAACCCTCATTTTTCTATTCTCTATGGCCTTATTTGGCCTATGTAGTAGCAACCAAAGTGTTAATGCATCCACAACTCAAGCCAATAATGCAACCACCTTGATTGTTAACCTTCAAAATGATCATACTACTACTTCCAATTATACTAAAGTTACCTTAGGGGACAAGAAACGACAGAATGGAGGTGGAGGTGGCGGTGGTGGTGGTGGTGGTGGCGGTGGTGGTGGGGGAGGTAATGGTGGAGGTGGGGGAGGTGGGGGTTTTGCATGGGGATGGGGAGGAGGGGGTGGAGGAGGTGGGGGAGGAGGAGGGGGTGGAGGAGGTGGGGGAGGAGGATGGGGTTGGGGAGGTGGTGGTGCAGGGTCATGGAAGTGGGGCCGATGTAGTGGAGGGGGACGAGGAGGAAGAACACGACATGAAAAGCGAAGATTTGGTCGTGGAAACTTTAAGTTGGGAGAATTTGCACAATGCATGGGAGGAGGAAGGTGCAAGGGAATGAAGCTTGATTGTCCACTTCACTGTGGTGGATTTTGCTACTATGACTGCATAAATAGGTGCAAAGCTCATTGTCGACGATAAGCTTTCGTCTGTGGCTTTGATATATAAGTTCTAGCTAGTCTCAAGATGTTCCCTCCCCTTTTTGGTTTTTGCAACATATGAGCTTGTTTTTTTGGTACTGAATGGCTAGCCATAGCAGTCGACCTAATTGTAGGGACTAAGGCTTTGTCATTGCTGTTGTAGTATAACTAGCTATGGCTGACATTTCTGTTGTCTGTTGTTTGTAAACCCATTTTTGCTTTGCGCGGATATCCACATTCTATTTCTTCAGTCTTGATCTTGCTCCCCTGACCCCTTTCAATCTCAAATATGCTTAATACAAATGTTCTCGTGTATAAGGATTCAATCCGATTATTAAACCAACTAATTGGAATGAGATGAGTTTTTTTGTAATTATATTAGGAAAATCGTGTCCCCAAATTGACAGAACCCTCATTCTATAATCAACTGTTACAATTATACGTAATTTTGCAATGATCAAAATAAGAAGTTTCTATTTTCATGAAAAGTTAACCTTTTACATCAAATGTATCACATCCAGGGAATTTAACAGTTACGCCTAACAATAACCATCTCACATGAGCTTAATAATACTCAATCTTAACTGAGTTTTTGCATGACATTCTATCAGCTGCATCGTGAGCAAAAAGGTTATTCTTCTTCAATCTCTGTCAGCATCCTCTATCTCCTCGTCCTCAGGAACTCCACGGAGATACAGTACGTTGTTGCATCTAAACAAATAGAAAGAAAAAACACAGCATAATTCTAGGGTTAGTCGGTAGACTAGCCAGCTGGGAGAGACCAAAAAAAAAAAAAATTGACATCAAGTTCAAAAAGATAAACGCAATAATGCAATACAGAGTAATGTATTAGGCAGCGTTTGGATAGGGGAAATCTATTCAAACAAAAGAATGACAGATGACAATATGACACCACATTTACTTCCCAATCATTCACCTTCCTCCTCTCCTTCCCTCGATTTACCTGGTTTATTTTCTCTAACTACTTTAGCAAGGAGCCAAACAAAGGAAGCTTAAGTTTGTTTCCTTGTAAATTTTCATTCCATTGGAATTAAGAAATTCAGCTTAAATCGATTTCTTTTTAAATCAGACACAAACTACAAGTGTTTACAGAATTACAGTTAGGGTCTGAAATTGAATTTCATACTTTAAAGTGAGACTGCTTCACCAATATTCTAAGCAATAATGTAGACAGATTAAATCACAACTCAACAGTTGCAATGTCCAAACAGAAATTTTTCAAAAGAGATCCAGAAATAAAAATCCAAACTGAGATATTTATATTTGAACAGAAGTCTAAAAGAAAGCTTTAATAACCTGATGAGAATCTCTCCAAGATCTCCAGTCTTCTGGCCTTCAATATACTCTTCTGTGTTCGCCAGCTGCATGCAAGTTATCATTAAAAAAGATAAGCAACTATGAAAGTCAATAATAGAACACAGATTAGAACATTAAATAATTCTAAGGAAGATGTATCATTACAGAACAGGCAAGTATGTACCTGTAGGTTCATGTACCCATCAACTGACACAAGATAGCCTACAAGATTGCATAGGACAAACATTATCTTATAAATTCTCAAGCCAATAAAAAAATCAAACAAATACGAAACTGCAACAACCAAAGAATTTAAGATATCATCCCCTCTTTTTCTATTCTTTTGGCTTAAAACCCATTAATAATGTTGGACGCGTGAGCAGATATATAGGTGACTAACAAACACATTACCTTTGTACTCCATTCCCCACTTCAGCTTCACAATGACAGGCTTTCCAGTCAGATTGTTCAAGAAAGGTTTTGGGTTAACTGGGACAGTCTGCAACAGAAAGCCAAAAAAACAAAAAGAAAAAGGCTTCAAAGACTGGTAAATCAGAAAAGAAAAAAAAAAAAAAAAAACACACACACAGAGCAATGTGCTAGGTATTTACATAACTTACAACTGAATATACATACAGCAAATGAATAAATGCCCACCCCATCTCCCCTTTCCCTAATTTAATCTAAGTGAGCAGCATCTACAGTACACAGGGTATCATACAAATCAACATTACAAAAGTACCTCTTTCCCCATTTTCGCTAGCAATAAAACTTTCATGCATGCGAAAGACATCGGTTACAGTAATAATGTTTGTTGTATGACAGCAGGACAACAAAGGGTTTACACACAATAACCCATAAGCAATATGAGGGCTATGAAGAAGAAAAAGAACCCAAGGAAAATAAGAGTATTTAACAGTACTTTACAGAGGCATTACAGAACAGCCTGATTTCTGATATGATAAGCAAAATCAAGCGTTTAAAATTCATTAGCAGATACATTAAGGCCAAGACATCACATAACCATCATAACATGACAATAGAATATAGGTATTTGTAGAAAAAAAAATAGAAAAACCCATATATGTTTAGTGCTAATCACAATAAACATGCATTAAACTGCGCAATAATCTTGCAAAATGACAATGGCATACAAATGTCATTCACAATCATGAAATTTTTTTGACATGTTGCATAATAATAATAAATAAATAAAAAACCAACAATATTTTCATATATCAACCAAATCAGATAAACAATCTGCTATGCACTTGGACCCTCTGACAAAATAGACTCTGAACTTGCTATTAAAAACTGCATAATAAAAGACCTATGTATATAAAGATTGAGCTTTGCATATAACACCATCACCAATATAGCTAGAATTAGTGCTTACAGCCATTTTAGCTTCACAATCAACAGCGTCCTGCAATCCTGCGAAAAAATGGGGCAAATGGTTATTAACTTATTGAAAGATGCAATGCACAGCTAAAAGAACTACAAACTTGGGTGGGGAACTGAAACTTCAATATTAATAGAAAAGATAATCACCAAAAAGATAGGGGCAGTCAATTAGCTATCACAGAAATCTGAAATAGCTTCAACTATTAAAACATCAAAAAGACCCCCCAACACACACATACAGAACTAATACAGGGATGAAAAACAGATACAAAAAGGATGAATTTGGGCTTGAGATAAGTATAATAATACAAGGAATTAAAGTGCAAAAGTACACTTGAAACAAGGTACAAAATTACAAATGAATATGTATGTTGGTTAGTGCTCAAAGTCTTCGTACTTGTTTCTGAAGGGGAATTATCCATGGAATAATACCAAAACAACCAACATCAATTCAGTGTTCAGAGATCATTTCATAATATATGGCATTAACATATTTACTTTTCTATGATATAAATCCAATTTCCAAATTGATGGACTCGGGCTTTGATGTAAGTTAAAGTTCAGTTACTTCAGTATATTTATGAAAAGATAGCCTTTGTGGCTCGTGTTACTTCAGATTTCAGAAGCATTAAGATGATGGTAGATTGATAGGGAAGCCATCAAACTACAACAGAACCATTTCTGCAATCAGAAGATAACATTGCACATAAAATTCTACAGACCATCAGATCCTGTCCATTTATCTCAAGATGAAAAGCTGAAAATGGAACTCGTATATATAAAAGGTCATCTCTTACAGAGCATATCAAGCTTCACAATACCTCAAAAATAAAGATTTGAAGTGACAGAGTTAAAGGATTATAAAGAACAAAATTTCATGGTAACTTGATAAGAATGTACCTAGCACATAGATTTTTAACTTAAAGGAATAATAATCTTGTAGCCTGTTGCTTTGCTGGACTAGCAATAAATTGACTAAATACAAGAGATAAAGACCATCAATATGATGAATTCCTCAAAGTATAACGCTTATCCAACATTAAGGATTAACTAGGTGTCAAAGCATAAGTGTCTTGGAAGGGCTAGTAAATAGTTCATGACGAGAAGCAGGTGAAATTAGAAAATGTGGTGAGGCAACTTGGGTTGGCTTTAAAAAAAGCTAAATAATCCCACATTCAGAAGCAAATAGCAGATAGCCAGATAGACACCAGCACCTTTTTGGCATTTGGCCTTAGACAAGTATTCTGTTTCCCACATTCAGAAGCAAATAGCAGTCATCAGTCACCAGCACTTCCCAAGAATGAGGACAAATTGACAAACTAATGAATGCTTAAGGTTCATTCTTTTGCTAGCCCCCCAAGACTTAGGGAGAGAGGGGAGCATAAACAAAAGGTTCAGGATTGCTTCAAAACCTACAGATTAACAATGGCAGGCAGGATGGGCACTGTAGTGTGAAGGGTTGACATATCCATAACAGCATCCAATTTCCGATACCAATACCCTACCATCATACACCATGGCCCAGTAGCCACAAGTATATCCACAAGTTTTTAGCTACTAATTGAGAATTTGAATCTCTCACAGAACAACTTATCCTATGAATATTAACAAATTGCCAACAATAAACACAGAGACAACTATTTATCCCCATCATCCACATTCAAATGCAAAAAAAAACCCGGAATCGTCCAGAAAAAACCCAGCACCAATCAACATTTATTGGTTCAGTTTCCATTCTACTTCCCAACAAAAAGTTCCAGGGCCATCCTCAAGCTAGGTTAAAGAGCAACCTCGCAACTCAGGGAATAAAGGTCCATTTTTATAGTACCATCTAACATCAATTAGTTATAAACAAAATGCTGAAACAATTGAACAACAAATTTCACTCAATTAACAAATTAAGCTCCAAAACCACATAAAATTCTTCTCACTTAATGATATCAATGTAAAGAGCACATAACAAAATTCTAGCAACAAAATCACTCGTTATAAACTGTAATAAGATCAGAAATTTATAACCAAAGAGCTCAATAAACTACCTAACATAAACCCTAAAGTCAATATACTGAAATTTCAAATCAACGATAAACCCTAGATAGTGAAATTGATATTCGATAACTCAAAATAAAACGGAAAAAGAGCATCATACCTAAGAAGCTGCTTTAATGGAGGAGAGATAGCTCAGAAGCTGCTTTAATGGAGAATTCAGAGTATGCTTCAATGGAGTAGAGTTAGCGCCGGAAAGGTGTAGTGCAAAAAGTGAAAAAATTCAAAACATAAGTAGAAGATTAATGACACACATGTAATTTCAGCCGTCAAATAAGAATATCAACGGTTAATTGGGCTGTTCATCGGTCCAAGACCGAAAACCGAAATTTAGAATTTTAAGAACCGAACACCGGATCGATTAAGTTGGGATCGAACCTAGACCAAATCGAAAGAATCGGTTCAAAATCCGGACCGGACCGCTTTGGACCGATTTAAGATTTTTTTTTAAAGAATTCTAAATTTTTATTAATTTTATGGAAAACTCGAAAAAAGTAAAGAAAAACTGTATTTTAACAACTCTTTTTATATGTTTGGTATAAAAAAGCTCACAAAATTAAAGTTTTCTAACCTCATTAAGGATAATCTTAACTAGAGCTGTCAAAAGTTGACCCGACCCGAAATACCGACTCAAACCCGATTATTAACCGACTCATCTAAACCCGAAAAAATGGTGACCCAAACCCGACCTGACCCGACCTAAAACCAAACCTAGACCCAAGTTGTCCCGAGTATGTGATACCGGAACCCGAACATGAACTGACCTGGAGATGACCCGACCCGAATGTATCCCGTAAATTATTGACCTGAATCAAACCCGACTTGAACCGAAATTGACCCAAACCTTAACCGATCAAAACCCGAATTTAACCCTACTTGTTATTAACTTGACCTGAATTCAACCCGACCCGTTCCTAACCCGACCAGAATTTAACCCAATCTGTTACAAACCCGACCCGAAATCAACCCGACTTGTTATTGACCTGACCCAAATTCAACTCGACTTGTTATTGACCTGACCAAAATTCTAGATCTAGAGTTTTTATGGTCAAATTTGACCCTTAAAACCCAAATTTCAAGCCAATTTTGAGGTTTTGGTGGAATTCATGGTATTTCCCTTTAAAAAAAAATTTACAGTGATGTGTGGTTGAATTGGTTTGTTTTAGGCCGATTTTGTGTTGGTAGAGGTCGTGGTGGGCTAAGTGGGTTGGGATCTGGTGGGTGGTGGTGGTGCTGGTGTGTGGTGCGCGTGGACGATGGTGGTGCTGGTGGTGGAACAAAAGCTTGATCCTATTTTTTAGACCACTTGTATTAATTTTATTACTTGTATTATTTTTTTAAATATATACTCCGTATTTTTTTTATGAAAATGTAATACTTACATCAATTAATTATTAATAAAAATACAATCGTTTTTATATATGTATTGTTTGTGTATCAATTTCACTGAAAAAATAAAATAAAATAAAAAATTTATAGCCCTAATGGGCAGCGGTTTCGCGCCAAAACCGCTACCCTTTCTCTTCAAATGACAAGCGGTTCTGAAACACTTGCCATTTAATGGACAATGGCAAGCCCCCCAAGCGCGAGCCGTTCAAACCCGCTTGTCATTGGGGGGTTTGAACCGCTTGTCACTTTGTTTAATTGTAATACCGAATATTTTATGAATTTATACGTAAAATATTTTATTAGCAAATTAAGTTATTTTTAATCTACATAGCTTTAAATTATTAAACCCAAGTTGGTTTTAATTAGACTCTTTTTATGAACCTATAAATACTCTTAAATCCTAAAAGTTTTTTTTTAAAATCACTATACAGTTCAACATTATGCGTTGAGCACTTGAGCCTTCTATTCTTTCGAAAATTCGACTGTTCTTTTCCTTAATATCTTTATTCCACCATTACTCGTTCCAATTTATAATAAGCAAACAGTGAGATCATTGCCTCTTAATTCTTCTTATTTGATGTGCAACAAACCCTTATTATCACTCAACATCATTCCTTCCGAGAAAGACACGTACCTTACACTAAAAACCAAATTGCTCATTAGCCTACCAATTAATATTTAGTCATCCTTCCAAGTTTTATAATGACAATTTGAAGTAGCCTTTTTGATATACATGTCAAACAATTTCGTCAGGGCGGTATCGTACATGCTTTAGAATTTAGATACTTCGTTTATGGTTGTTTATGATCGAAAAGGTAATCACACTATCAATAATCTTGGAGTCGTATGTTTATATTTTTGTCTAGTAATCACACGAATCTTATTTCTTGATTTTATTTGATTATAAATTGTTAGTATTGATTGTACTTTGTATTGTTATATGTAAATTTTATTATTTGTGAATTATATATGATCATGATTTATATGTATATGATTAGTGTGTGGTATTATGTGATTTAATTGTCGCATTGATTGATTGTGTTATTTCTAGGGGGTTTTAATGTTGTAGTTATAGGGAGTATTGTTTTATCGAGGTTTTAGGGTTGTTAATGCAGAGTATTATTTTGGGTTGAGAATTGATTACATTTGGGTAACTAGTATGATTACCCTATAAGAGTTGAGATATACTACGATTGAATCGAGTTCGAATTATTATACTATTTGGGAACATGTGCCAATATTGAGAATTTATTATCATGTGAAAGATTATTTGATCAATGTCTGAGATCAAAAGGTTGAGAATGATTATTTTGTTATTGGTTTGAGGCTCGGCGTTATAGACCTAGTCCTTGGTATGTTGGTAATGAAATAATGATCATGAGTTAAGAATGAGGTATAATCTTTATTATCTATTTTTCTATTGTCCCCTACAGTGGGAATTGGCCCGTATGTGGTCTGGTTTAAGGTGTTTTCTAGTTATTGGGAGTATTCAAGTTTTTATACTTGTTGGTTTTATTCGAATTACCCATGTCCAAGGCTAGGTATAGAACAACGAGCATGGCACACTTATGGGTTATATAAGTTAATTGAGTAAAAGTTCGTATTATTATTCGAGGTTGAGTTGATAAAGGATTTTTCTTCAGAGTACAATGTGTAATGTAGTTTCGAACTACATTGTTTAATTGATCTAGTAATGTTAATTATTATATTATTCTTTGTATTATGATATGTGGTGATTACTCAGCTTTTTTGCTGACGTGTGTGTTATTTTATTTTGCTACTTATGTTTGCGGCCATGTCTTTTTCTTATGGTGGCCCTGCGACGATCTATTTTGGAATTTGTCCTTAATGGTGAGCAGTCGAGTTTGTATAAACAGGTTTGATCAAGTGATCGTAGCTAAAGGGAGCTCAAGTGATCGATTAGTATGCTATAATGATTTGTAAAGTTGTAAATAGCTCACTTAGATTATTGGGTTGTATTTATTAGGATTTTTGTAAGCCTTAACGCTCGACAAGTTGTTGTGTGTGGCGGTAATACCTCCGATTTAGGAGTATGCTTCCGCAATTTTATTTAAAGGTTGTCTATTTTTTCTTTATTTATTGTTTATTATTAGTCAGTAAATCGGGGGTGTTACATTAATCTACTAGTGCTAATACCCTTCGGGAGTCCAATTGGATGCATGGGTGGAACCATCCAATTTGCCTTTAATCGGCCAATTTATCGGTTTACAACTTGCACTGATTTCATTAACTCAAGCCTACCGCGAACATTTATGACAACATATAATGATCAACTATGGTTTCAAACGACATTATATGACCCCGAGATGTATCTTCTAGAATCTCAAGGATTTTCGACACCGACCACGAAACCTCCAAAATTTCTCAAAAAGCGTGGATATTAGCCTTCAATTTTTGAATTTTTTTTTTAACTTTTTTCGCCTGTAAATAAAAATTGCCTAAATGTTTACCATGGTCCCTAATACCCTCCGAGAGTCCAATTGTGTGGGTGGAACCATTCAATTTGCCTTTAAACGACCAATTTACCGGTTTACAACTTGCACCGATTTCATTAACTCAAGCCTACCACGAACATTTATGACAACAAATAATGATCATATATGGTTCCAAATAACATTATATAACCCCGAGATGTATCCCCTAAAATTTCAAGACTTTTTCTCACCAGGCCCCGAAACATCCAAAATTTCTCAAAAAGCGTGGATATTAGTCTTCAATTTTGGAATTTTTTTACTTTTTTTCGCCCGGTAATAAAAATTGCCGAAATGTTTACCATGGTTTCTAATACTCTCCGGGAGTCCAATTGAGTTGGTAGAACCATCCAATTTTCCTTTAAACGACCAATTTAATTACCGGTTTACAACTTGTAAGGATTTCATTAAATCAAGCCTACTAAGAACATTTATGACTACATATAATGATCATATATGGTTCCAAACGACATTATATGACCCCGAGATGTATCCCCTAAAATATTAATACTTTTCTACACCGGGCCCCAAAACCTCCAAAATTTCTCAAAAAGCGTGGATATTAACCTTCAATTTTAATATTTTTATATTTTTTCGCCCTGAAATAAAAATTGCGAAAATTTTTACCATGGTCCTTATTACCCTCCGGGAGTCCAATTGGGTGGGTGAAACCATCCAAATTGCCTTTAAACGACCAATTTACCGGTTTACAACTTGTACCGATTTCATTAATTCAAGCCTGCCACGAATATTTATGACAACAAATAATGGTCATATATGGTTCCAAACAGCATTATATAACCCCGAGATGTATCATGTCGAATTTCAAGACTTTTCGACACCGGGCCTCAAAACCTCCAAAATTTCTCAAAAAGCATGGATATTAGCCTTCAATTTTGGAATTTTTTGACTTTTTTTCGCCCAAAAATAAAAATTTCCGAAATGTTTACCATGGTCCCTAATACCCTCCGGGAGTCCAATTGGGTGTGTGGAACCATTCAATTTGCTTTTATACGACCAATTTACCGGTTTACAATGGCCAATTTAATTAACTTGCACCGAACCCGATTTGAACCGAAATTGACCCACCGTTTTAACCCGTCAAAACCTGAATTTAACCCGACTTGTTACTAACTTGACCCGAATTCAACCCGACCCGAATTTAGCCCAAATTGTTACAAACTCGACCCGAAATCAACTCGACTTGTTATTGACCTAACCCAAATTCAACCCGACTTGTTATTGACCCGACCCGAATATTATTACCATACCTATTACTTACCCAACCCAAATATTCAACCCAATCTGTTACTAACCCGACTCGAAATTAACACGACTTGTTATTGACCCGACCTAAATTCAACCCAAATTGTT